TTCTATGGTGTGCCGCTCACATTTTGTTATTTTTAATTTTCTTCAAGGAAAAGTTCTGTGTTTCGGCACACGTTTCCAAGTCGCGCGCTTGCTTGGACCATGTTTACTTTGTGTCAAAAAAAGTTATCATTCGGTTGTGTTTGCTGCATGAAGATGGGATTGTTGAAGCATGTAGGTTCTATTTGACAAAAAGAAAACGGTAAATTTTTGATTTAATGGCAAAATACTCTCTCTTTTAATTATATTCAGTCAGTTAATTTTCTGTCAAGTGCCCAATTGCAAAGTGTTAGTTTCAGCCAACATTTTGCTAATAACTCTAGTCTGAAGGCATACGTGCGCATACTGTATATGCGTATTTAAAATAAAGAAAACTCTTTCTCGCTCTGTGGCAAGCTGTCAAGCCATTGAAAACAACAATGACCTCTTAAGAAAAGAAAAAACAATAGGTTAGCTCATACATACTAATCAGGCATACACGTATGTGCGTATATGCATACGCGTACGTGCGTATATGCATACGCATATACACGTATTGGGCTGACGCGAATTACGCGTATATTTTGGTTTGGATATATCTGAGCTGCACTGTAGGGCTGGCTTCAAATGAGTTACAGGTGTGAATGCAACACACAGCATGCAGTCTTAGTGGGTACTGTTATTATCCTCAGTTACACTGTACAATAAGTTCACACATTAGCATTGTCCATACCAGCACAAAATACTTGTAATTTAACAATATAAATCTACTAGCAGTGTATTCATCTAGCATATACATGTAAAGTTAAGATGATGACAATGACATTGCTGACAATGCCAAGGACAATGATGACAGCAAAAACAATATTGTCAAGCAGTTTCTTTCGTGAGACATTGCTTGACCATACATGTGTACATGTACTATAGAGAACTGTTTGCACCAAAATTGTCTTTACATATTAAAATGGGTTTGTTTATTTCATTTGTAAAGTTAACACTGTATCTGTTTTTCATGTACATGTATAACAAGTCTGAAGGCTGTTGATAATGAAAATCGGTTTCAGCATTAATTCTGAAAGCTAACTAGGAGTGCTCTCTTACTAACATGCAAATCAACCTTACAGTGCTTATGAAAATCTTAACCAAGAAATTCACCTTGTGGCTGTTTGCCCTGACCATTATCTAAACATACAGTCATGTAATATATTGATATTGTAGGGTACAATTCAGTGTGATAGTGAAACCGTGTTTGAGCTTGCTGCCCTCGCTCTTCATGCAACCAATGGAGACTACACAAGGTGCGTCACTGAGTGTCTTCTTCCTTTCATGCTTTAAACTGACTAAGGTCAGTCATTTGACAAATAATTTTAATGGCCACACAAAGGTTTTATGTCACTGTTTTGTGTATTGATCATTTACTTTTACAATCAGTTCACTGTTGTGAGTTTGAAAAAAATCTCATTCTTGTTCTACAATATCCCTTTTTCACATACATGTGGAAATCAATTAATTTAGAGTAGTCCAGAGCAGTTCATTGATGTAACAGTTCTGCCAGTCATTTTCTTTTTTAAGCCACATCTTTTCTCACTCAAACACTGTGTAATTATTTATGTGTCATTGTTTCAGTGATGAGGCAGCGAAAGTAGAACTCAGGAAGCTACCTGTTCTTCCAACTAGAACACTCAAAGAACGACCATCCATAACTTATTGGTGAGTGTAAAAAAGAGTAATTATTTACAATAACCTTCCTGACATGTGTTAGGGCTGATTGGATGACATAATTTTGCCACATGCTACAAACTTACATTAAGTAGATGCAATTAGAATACCAAATATTTTTATGTAAATCGTTATTGAATTCAGATTTGAGCATGTCAATCCAATATTGTTTCCATGGTTATTTTCCTACTTTGTTTCTTACAGCAGTACAAATGTTTGGCTATGATAGAGATATGGTGTTTTGTTCGAAGTAATGAGATTTTTTTATATATATTTTTTTTTTTTTGCTACAGTGAAGATAAAGTGTTAGAGTACTACAAGAGATCTGCTGGGCAGACAAGAGGTGAATCTATTGTCAGGTAAAGTGCCTATTGTCTAAAATAATGATCATGGTAATTTTAATTGACTTTGGAAATTAATGTATCAACTAAAGTTACAAGTAAACATGGTGATGTTATGAGAAGGGTTTAAATTCTATTTTAATTGATATATTAGTGTTCTATGTGAGAGACCATGTTTTATTAGATTTAAAACAAACTCACACGGAAGACAAGTTAATAGACAAGTTAATAGACAAGTTAACAGAGTTTTGTGTGTAAATATGATACAACATGGATTTGGTTTGTGTATGTAGGTTCAAACATCTACATGTTTGAAGCCATATTTTCAGTTTTCTTAATATATATCCATACATGTATATATTTTTTGTCGTACAACATAGTTTACAGCCAAGCCAATTAATCAATGCAAAAGGTTTAAAATGTGTAATTTAGGGTGACTGGACTTGTATGCTGTACTTCAATGTTTTCGTTTTTCTAAACTCACCCTTGTGTTTACATCCAGATGCATAAACATGCACACATAAATTGAAGAAATCTGGCTTTTGTTTCTTTTTTAATTACAATTTTTTTTTCTCTTCAGGTATCTTTGTATTTTTCAAAGTTTGCCAACTTATGGTGTTCATTACTATGAAGTTAAGGTAAGGAACACACAACAGTCACAATCTATAAAATTTGTATGATATGGGGATAACAGACAGTGCTTCATTTTAAACTATCCATAAATTCAAATAGCCATGTTGTGCTTATTGAGTTTGTTGGATAATGTACTTGTGATAGTACATGTAAATCCAACATTTATAATCTGAGTCATAGAGTGTTTTGAAACCCAGTGGTTCAACAGGATAGCCCATAAGAGATATTTATCAGGATTTTTACCACCAATGATCACACCTTTTCGTCTCCCTAAGAGCAACACAAAGGACACTGTAATTTTAAGTGTTTGAACACATCTCTACAAATCTCTTAGATATGAGCCCTTGAGGTTGTGCAAATGGCAGGAGCCTTACACCATGCTGTGTTCTTAGGTGGTTTTGAATGGGAATGGCTATTTATTGAGTTTGTTAATATACTGTAACTGTAGTGACATCATCTTTAAAGAAGTTTACATGTCCAGGTTTGATACATTACTACTTATTTCCTTTCTTTAGGACAAAACCAATATGCCATGGTGGTTAGGACTCAGTCCTANAGTTACAAGTAAACATGGTGATGTTATGAGAAGGGTTTAAATTCTATTTTAATTGATATATTAGTGTTCTGTGTGAGAGACCATGTTTTATTAGATTTAAAACAAACTCACACTGAAGACAAGTTATAAGAGTGTTATGTGTAAATATGATACAACATGGATTTGGCTTGTGTATGTAGGTTCAAACATCTACATGTTTGAAGCCATATTTTTAATTTTTTTATATATATATCCATATGTGTATATATTTTTTGTTGTGCAACATATTTTTCAACCAAGCCAATTAATCAATGCAAAAGGTTTAAAATGTGTAATTTAGGGTGACTGGACTTGTATGCTGTACAATGTTTTCGTTTTTCTAAACTCACCCTTGTGTTTACATCCAGATGCATAAACACGCACACATATAAATTGAAGAAATCAGGCTTTTTTATATTCTTTTTAATTACAATTTTTTTCATTTCAGGTATCTTTGTATTTTTCAAAGTTTGCCAACTTATGGTGTTCATTACTATGAAGTTAAGGTAAGGAACACACAACAGTCACAATCTACAAAATTTGTATGATGTGGGGATAACAGACAGTGCTTCATTTTAAACTATCCATAAATTCAAATAGCCATGTTTTGCTTATTGAGTTTGTTGGATAATGTACTTAGTACATTTAAATCCAGCATTTATAATCTGAGTTATAGAGTGTTTTGAAACTCAGTGGTTCAACAGGACAACCCATAACAGATATTTATAAGGATTTTTACCACCAATGATCACACCTTTGCGTGTCCCAAAGAGCAACATAAAGGACACTGTAATTTTAAGTGTTTGAAGACATCTCTGCAAATCTCTTAGATATGAGTCCTTGAGGTTGTGCGAATGGCAGGAGGCTTACACCATGCTGTGTTCTTAGGTGTTTTTGAATGGGAATGGCTATGTATCAAGTTTGTTAATATACTGTAGTTGTAGTGACATTATCTTTAAAGAAGTTTACATGTCCAGGTTTGATACATTACTACTTATTTCATTTCTTTAGGACAAAACCAATATGCCATGGTGGTTAGGACTCAGTCCTAAAGGAATTGGTCTTTATGACCATGGAGATAAGATCAAACCCAGAAAGGTAATCCTCAATAATGCAAATATTATTTAACAAATAAAGAAGCCTAGTCCGTGTATTACACTGTGATAAAACATGACGGGCATTTGAGAACACAAGGGAATTGTAGAAAACACGAGCCGCAGGCGAGTGTTTTCTACATTTATCTCATGTTCTCAAATACCCGTCATGTTTTATCACAGTGTAATGCACGGATTAGGCTTCTTCATTTGCTTTAGTAGAGTAGAAACAACAAAGCACACAGATCGACAAACTGACACAATTTAATCCCACTTAAGTGCTACGCATGTCTCGTCTTCAAGACTTTCTGCTGCTTCAGAGAGAACTCCATCAGAAATTTCTTCAAAGGAAGTGTTTTGACCATCTCCAACAAGCTGTCACTCTCTCTTCATTGTCCCAAGATTGGAACTGCAGAATCTAACTTTGGATCTCTTAGCAGGGGTTGCTTTTACTGGTTTCTCAGAAACCAATCTTTCACACACTAAGCAGTAAAATGCAAGTTCACATTTAAACTGTCTGGCATAATCAAGTGTAATTTTTGTTTTAATTTATGTTCTATTTCCTTTTTTTCAGATTTTCATGTGGAGTCAGATAGAGAATATATACTTTCGGGACAGGAAATTCTCCATTGAGATTAGAGATTCCTACAGGTTAGTCATAACAAGTAATAAAAAATATTTTTTCTAACCTTTGAAAAATAATGTTATAATTACTTTGGTAGGGTTTCTTTTGATTGATCCTGCTGCCTTTTGCTATGGAGCTATAGCACTGGGAGGCAAACATCTGGCTAGCTAGTTGTAACAGGCTGCCACAAGTGAACATTGCATCCATAGCTTGGCCTAGCCTTTTCTTCTTCTTCCAGGCCAGCTGGTAGATCACTTAAACTTTTATTAGTCCCCTATTTGTGTAAGCAATATCATAAATAAGCAAAGTGATTTTAGCTTAATATTTATTTTGCCTTGCATAATCACCAGTGGCTGGTGTAATTTGAACTCCTGTCTCTAAAATATAAATTTAAAACTTTCTTGATTAACTTGGGGTGTCGACTTCTTGGCCTCTCCTCTTATAAAATCAATACAAACAGTTGCATGAGATGAGCTAAATTACCAGACAGATTTAAAGTTTAAAATTTCAATGGATAAGGAATTAATTCCTCAGTTAGACCTACCAACACATATAACCTGAGTTTATATGAATTTAATTTTTTTCCACTTACAGTTCTTCTATAATTTGAATTTTCTCAAACAATTTTTACCCAAAATACCTCACTCACCCATTGGGCAAGTGAAGGATGGAATCCACTTGCTTGACCAGGGCTGTGCTCTTACTAGAAGTGCCTGGGTGCCACAGGCGACTAACTTTCAGCTTTGGGCAACTGGAAAAACTTACTTTTTTCATATAAGCTTAAGTGCTGGGCACCCTGGATTTCATGGTTAGGAACCTCAAGTTGAGCTCCTCGTAATTTTTCTTAGATCACAGCCTTGCTGACTGCAAAATCCCCAAGCCTGGGCTGTGAGACATGACTTTCTTTGCACACTAATCATTATCATCGTGCATGCCCAATAAACAGAGATTGTCGCCCAGGGATTGAATAGGATTAACCTCCTCATATCATATTTTAATTTTCCACATTCCAGATATGAATTTAAGGACAGTAAAGCTAGGTATGTCGAGCTACGAATGTGACAACACTACTAAACATAAATTAGATAAAGTAAAGAGAAGCAAATTAAAGTAAACTAAACTAGTGTAAGTAAAAGTATGTAAAACTAAAAGTAATTGCAACTACATGTCGAGTTAAGACTTAGTAAATAAATTAAATGATAGTAATGTAAAGTTGTTTATTATGATTGCAGTTGTGCAGTTGGACAAAATTTTCATTTGTATGAATGCAAGCAGTGTTTTTAAATGATTGCACATTTATCATTTTTGAATGTTTGTGTAGAACAATAAGCCGCAAGCCAGGCGCAGGAAGCATGATGGTTCATGCCTGGTTTTCCAGCACAGCTGCATTGGCCAAAACAATGTGGACGATGGCTATTAGTCAACATCAATTTTACCTGGACAAGAAACAGGTTGAGGTAAGAAAAATGGAGGACAGCGTAAAGGGGTGGTAAAAGTATTGAAATGACAGAATTATGACTTGGGAGGAACTGAGAACTCACGGATTAATAAATTATTGCAGTATAAAAAGAGGGGCATAATGTCCTCATATTGTCTTGATGTGCCACAAAACGCTCAATGTTGACAAACAGGAAACAGGAAGGTGAGACATCCAGTATAGAGAATTGACAGATTAAGCTTGGGATTTAGCGATATTTTTCCTGAGCGGCCTTACTCTGATGCTGGAAAATTTGCAGTGGTGATCAGAGAGAGCAGTATGTTGTAGTTTGCATCTTGACTAGTTGGAAAAAAAAGGAATTCTGTTTTTTTCTCATTCGTTTTTAGCAGGCGCAAAACCAGAGGCAAAAACTTTCAGTAATAATTATAAAGGTGCTAATCGGTGATCCTCACTTGTGCTTTAGGCCAAGATAACTCTGCGGAGAACTCTTCGAGACATGGCACGTGAGTTGTCGCAGTCCACAGGATCATTGCCTTCATCCACTTCAGACAGCATGAGTACCAAGAGTGATCAGTCGCACAGTGTGTCCAGCGTCAGCATGAATGGAGGTTAGTCACGCTTACAATATTGTACATACTATTACGTAACGCTCTCTCGTGGTATACCATGGAATATTCCACGAGTCACTTGCATTTTCACGGGCTTATTTTGCTCACGTACAAAATTACCTTTAAATTGAAAGAAAGCTGAAAATAATAGTTTATAAAGATAGAAAAACACCTAAGAGATAATCGTAATAAACCATAAAGGAAAAGGGACGGTTAAGGATAGAGAAGATCAACACGGATTACAAACGACGGACTTGAAAAATTCAGGCTAAACTTTTCAAGATTCGCAAACCTAGCTCCTCTAACGGCTTAGTCCTGTTAGATGTTTTGTACTAAGAGCATGTTATTATATCTTGAAGGTGATAACTTATCGTCGCTTCCTAAAGCGGCGGAACGCGAGATGTTGACAGCTTTGGCGGCGAGAAAAGAGGCTCTTCTGGATAAACTGAAAGAAAAGATGGACGAACTCAAATCACTGTGTATGCAGGAGGCGGTAAGTTAGAAATAAAACATGATCAGATGATAAAATCTCGCTGCCAGGGAAAACTTGGTCAATTAAAGTACAGCTACACAAGATAAGGTGGTGTTATCAAAGCTTCTCATTAAGGGGACAGGATAGATACATGTTGCCCTACTCTGGAAAGGGCGCTTATTTTATTTCCAGTTCACTCCGCTTGTAACTAGCCTGTCCACAGACCCTCTAGATTTTGTCTTGAGTTCGTAGAGATCGCAAGCTTAGCGAAATATAAACCCGGCGCGTGGAATACGCGCGCTAAACCGCGCTCGCTTTCACGCGCGCTCGACGACAAAAAAAATTCGCAGACCAAAAGAAAAGTCTATGGACAGGCTACTTGTAACAACAGGTGAAGAGAAAAACCACAGACAAGTTCTGCTCTAAATTAAAATAATGCCAAATGAAGTCGATTTTTGGACTGACGCGGACTGTGAAATAATGGCAAAATAGCCAAAGTAAACTTGCTAACAAGAAAGAGAGAAATAAATTATTTGTGTCGTTTGTAATCATTCAAAAATAAGACGTTTTTAGTCATGCTTACTACAGAACTTACATAGGCTTGAACTTTGTTTCTAGGAATTAACCGGCGAGTATCCCCCGGAGACCCCCTATACCCCTGGGAGTCCCCTGCCACCAATCCGACGGAGAGTAGGCACCGCCTTTGAATTCTCCGAGTTCATCATTAGCGGCGAAAAGGACGAGGTAACTATAATAGCGATGAAAAACCTCTGGCTTGTCACGTGTGTTATGAATGCAGTCTTACATTTCTTTTGTGCCATATTTCGCTCCGGTAACTCGACCAGCTAATCAAAATACTTTATTTCTGGTCTTATGGTGATGTTTCAACAGCACCTTTTCAAACAGTAAGTCGTGCAGTAAATCTTTTATCAACCAAGGTCACTTGAGAAGGCTCTGAGAGGATATAGGTCCTCGGTCTTTTTGTAAAGACCTCGTTGAGCTAGATCCTTAAGAGATGGAGGACGGATATCCTCCCTGTACCGCCCTTGCACTTGGTTAATAGCACAGCTATGTCATGTAATCAGATACGTGTCGTGCGATCTTACACCTGTCCCAGGATACACACTAATTCTTACATACCATTTCTATTTCCTTCTTGGACTCTGATTTTCCACATTGTTTAAAGTGAACGTTTTGAACGATGTTCTTTCGTTCCTCTAAATTTTCTTGCAATCTGTTTTTCTTCCGTCAGGATGAGGAAATCAAGACCATGGCAAGAGAGCTTGAAATCCAGTCACAGATAACAACTGCTGCGCAGGTATTCATTTATATCAGATTCACAGCTGCGTCCAACCATCTCAATGATTCCCAATCGGAATTCAGGGTTTTTGACGTAATGTTGAGCACCTTTAGTGGAGGCGTAATGGCCTCATGGTTAGTGCGCTCGCCTCCGGATCGAGCGGTCTGGGTTCGAGCCCTGACCGGCGGCATTGCGTTGTGTTCTTGGGCAAGACACTTTGCTTCCACAGTGCCTCTCTCCACCCAGGTGTATGAATGGGTACTGGCAAATCGAACGCTTTGTGTAACCCTGTGATGGACTAGCAGCCCAACCAAGGGGGAGTAGAAATACTCCCAATCGCTTCATGTTACAGAAACCGGGATAAGCTCCGGCCTGATGGGCCACTTGACTCGTATGCAGACTTTACCTTAGACATTCTTATTTTCAACCAACACCTGTACTGATCGTTTTGTGATTTGTTCTTGTTCGCTTTCAGAAACTTGCCGAGGACCGTAGCGTTAACAAGAACGTCAGAAAAACTAGGAAGTTAACGTACCAGAAGTCACTGAGAAGGGTGAGCAACATGTAACACCGTCTTGGTGTGCTCGTAAAATTGCCGCACGATGGAAAATGCGTTGCTAGTGAAGCCGCGAGAGGGCTCGTAGTTTGCCATCGCGCGACAACGAAAACACCAGCTAAACTAGGCTTTTTTTTTTTACATTTCATCTGTTTAACTTCATGTTATCTTTGCACATCTGTCATTTTAGCTCAAAGACATGGAAGAGAATCTTCGAAAAGTGAAGGAATCTCGATTGCCAGTGAAGTCCAACCACGGTAATGGGACATAATTTAACTCTGACTTCCATAGTGCGTAATAATGAGGTTAGTTTGTTGGAACTTCAGTACCATCCGTACGTGACACTCGCCTTCGTCGCAGATGTTTGCGTGACCGCCGGGACTTTATATCAGCCACGCGAGTCATACAAAATATACCGAGGGAGGCTAAATCGCCACCAGCTTTTTCTCCCTGGGTTTTACACTGTTCGATTGTGCCAATACTTTTTTCCAGGTTTTGCTTACGTTGACTGACCTATCCAACCCGTTCATTAGCTGAGCTGCTGCTAAAATCGCCATACGTGACGAACTCAGATCTCGGATTTAGATTAATTTTCTCCGTTCCACACGCATCTAACTTGTTCTCTGCTTGTTCAACAGATGTGGAAGATAGCAGTGTAGGAGAAGGTAAGACACGCCAGTTATCTGCAAAATGTTGTGTCGTCAAACTTTAAGCAAAGTAGAGAATTGTTCAATTGATTGGCTTAAAACCAAAACCAATGCAATCACAATGGCCATTCTCAAAAAAAAAAAAGTGGTTCACAGTGAATCCTGCGGGCAAGCTTTCTTGGCAGCTTTCACATTAGGCTTACAGAGTATGCCATGCACAACTCAAAACAAATACAGCAAACAGGCACTAAGCGCGGAAATTAAAACACGTGACAAGTCACCAGCGGTTTTGAATTGGTTGAGAAGAGGGCGCGAGTTTTTAAAACCTATCACATCGAAGGGAATTGTTAATAAATTTAACTGGATTATTTCTGTCGTGGTTTTAGGTTTCTATCGTTCTCATTCGTTATCCAACGGGAGCAGCTACACTCAAACAGAGAGACTAAGCCCTCAGCGCTATCGAACAAGCGTCAGCCTGAGCCTTGCTTCAAGGAACGGAAGTATCATCAGCGCAGAAAGCCTTCAGGATAGGGATGCACTCGAGCGGGGTTATTATAGCGGGCCACCGTCTCCGGTGATATCACCGTATCGGAAGACTCCTCCGAGTCCCACGGTTAGGTCTTATCAGGGAATCTCAGAGACACGGCGACAGCATAGCCCCCTTGCTAATGGTCCCCGGGCGGGGAGATTTTCGCTCTTGGGGGAAAACAACCGTGCAATTCCGGCGTTCCAGTATTCGGATAGTGATACTCGCAGCGACTCCTCTACGAAGCCGTCCTCGGTGAGTTCGTACGCGAACTCGGAAGACCTCGGAGAAAATCCGGAACCTTACGGGCACCATCGGAGAATCGGCAACTCGTGTGAAAGTTTGGACGAGAATCACATCCGAGGGCCGAGTCCTCGGTTGTTTGTAAATCGTTCCGCGGGACAGAGCTCGGAGAGTCTTAACAGCGACCACGAAGGAAGCAACTCCCCGTTTAGTCCTATGCGGAGTCAACGGTCATTTTCATTTGACGCTCGACCTTCCAACTTAAGACTCCCAAATGCGAAGTATTTAAACACCAGTGACTTGGCAATTATGAGTACTTCAGGCATGGCGGGAACTTATTCTGTGAATCACAATTCAAGACTGTCTCCTAATCTCTCTGGTAAAGGCTACATATCAACGTCTTTATCGACCATTGATAAGCCTGCCCTGCTATCGAATATGAATCTAAGGACAGCTAAATCTCAAGTGAACATGTCAGCAGTACCTTACCTGACAAATCCGGGATATTATCGGACTAACCAACCGTCGGAATCGTCCATATTTGAAGAGGACTTGCTAGAATGGAGAGCGAACGACGATTCAGAGGCCACGTTGGTGTAAACTCGATATCTCTAATCAGGAAAATAATCTATCGGTTCTCTTGAAGTACATCTGAGATGGCATGAAGCTACTTGAATGGAAGAGAATAACAAATCACGGACGCGATATTGGCATAGATCGATATCTTGGGGAAAGGACGGTTGGAGATCGGCCGAGAGTTCGCAAGGCTGCTTCGTTTAACTGCCGAATAAATTTTAGACATATTTCATTGCATCACCGCTGGTATAGTTGTATATGAACACAAAAAGAAAATAATTGTTTTGTAGTTGGTTAAATCGGCATTCATTACCAAATGGTTGTGTATTGGAAAGCAAGTGTCACAGGTTTTCGTTACCCGAGTCACGCCACTTTTGTCTGTTGCGTGACAACCCAAATAACGAAACAAAAGGAAAATTCAAATGTGGTTAAAATTCGTTACAAAACTATATATGGTTTACGTTTGTAATTTTTTAAGGTGATAGTATTTTGTACAGATTACTAAAATTTTAGCTCAGATCTACCTTTAAATAGTTACTGGTAGAGCTGTTCTTTATCAGTTTGATAAATTAAGACTAATTTTTGACGTATATATGTATCACTCTACAATATTGACAAATATTTAGCACTATGTCGTGGCAATTCACCAGATTAAGCAAACTGCCTTATCAGTTAAAAAGAACCAATTCACGAGGTTATATTGATAATTTTGAATATTTATCCGACAAACGAAATCGAAAAGAATTTGTTGCAACGTTGAAGCAGAATGTGCCAACGAACAGTCCTGAGTTTGCGTTAATTTATCACGTGCCTGTTTTCTTGGAAACAAAAAACTAGTCATATGACGTTGGCAGACATGGAATTTTTCGATAAAACACTTAGCTGAGCTACCAATTTGTTACCCAACCTGAAAGGTTAAATTTCATGGAATTTTAAATATTCTATGGATTTTATGCTTTTAAATAACCTGACATTTGTATTCTGGGAAATTTTCTTCCACCGTCTCTATTTCGTGCATGGTTTGTCCTTTTCCATGAAATGGTTTCCCTACTTTATAGAATGTTTACGTTTCCATAAAATCTCACCCTTTAACAATACACGCCTTATAAATAATATACTTTGTGTTGGCTCTCGTTCCACTTCTGATAGATTCTGGTAGGTTCGTAGTTTAAGTTGTTAGTTTTGGCATGAAAGAGTCACTACACCAATATATCAAAAAGATTTCCGTGTATAGCTGCTAGGTCGATCAGGCAAGCGTAGTACGTGTTATTACATCTGACAAAGAGGTGCCAAAAAAGTATGTCTAAACCTTTATGTTGTGTGACCCAAGGTAGGAGTCAGCGTGAACACATGTTAAACGGTGAAATGCAAGCGAATGGAACTGAATTCGATTTTGCTGAATATGTCTTAAAACTGCTCTGAACAAGACTTCAAAATGTACATTAATAACCAATGACACCAAAGTGGAAATAACTATCTATACTTTTGAGTTTTGCCGTTCTGTATTTATTTCATAGAATGCGGGTGAAAATATCTCGCTATTATATAAGGTCGTCTCAGGCTCTTAATCGGATTTATTATGTACGGGTTTTTTTTTTTGAGTCCGTGTGGTAAAGGTGCAACAGAGGACAAATTGAATTTTGAGTAAAACTGATATTTCATATTAAATTGTGTAAATACTAAAAGGAAATACCTATCATTCTAGCTAATTTTACCATGTTTTTATTCCTAGCGATCTCATCAGTTCCATTATGTACGCAAAGTATTTAAATAAAATGTGAACGTACATAATCTTGTCCAGCTTGTCAATTACTCTTACATTCGAAAGATCAAGATAAAAAAAAACTCCTTAACGATTGTCATACGTGTCCCTTGATAAAAGTCTAGAGAATTTGTTGTTATGTCAAAAGGTTATTTCTTAGTTACTGATTTTCTTTACCCTCAGTGGTAAGCATTAATTAGCGTTGCCTACCTGTAACAGTCCCCACCCCCAAGGAAAAACGGAGGGGGTGGGTACGGCTACACGTAGGGGCTTGATTAGTGCTAGGGTTTGTTAATGATCGACATTTTAGGGAGAATCTAGCAGTGAATCATATTTGGAGAAATAACAAATACAATGTTGCTTTGGAGATTCAAGAGAAACCGTGTGACCGGATCGTCTTTCAAAAGCTGTGAATTATTGTTAATATTTTTTGATGTGATTCGTAACATCGTTAACACGTAATACGAAATGAGGATCATTTTATTAACTCGGAAATTTAAAGGATTTCGTTCCCGTTAAGATTACACCTCTACCGAAGTCCACAAAAGAAAAACAAAGTGAATGCAGCTCAAAATCAAACATGTTTGTATAGCTGCCCCTGCCTTGTTCAGTGGTCTTCTTTTCGACTCTTTATTTCGATGTATTCATATGGTCTGCGTTTTATAAATGATGTGGTTTATTAGACTGCTGGTATCTTCTGTTGTGATCAAAAGCACTGTCGGACGATTACAACTAGTTTCCTCCGCAAACAACTCCACTGTCGAGGGAGGACTTAAAAAGAATGAAAAAACGACTCGTCCTTGAGCTCTGTCGTGGGAGCCCCACGACTAATAAGGAAATAGATGAAGAGTTGATAACTCATTTTCCTGGTGTGTCTTTCATCCCTAGTCTTCCTTATTACCTTCTTTTTCATTCGCTCCGAACGTTCTCCTGGGGGCGAGGTTACCGTGCACACCTCTCGATGCAGAGGGTGCGATGGTTTTGTTTTGTATGAAATATCGCAGATCACTTTACTCGGAGGAGTGGGCGGGGCCGATAGTAGTTTCCTAATGATTATTTGTTTGTTAGTTTTGTTTTTTTAGGGGCGTTGGGTTGGTGGGGGGAGAATTGAGTATTTGTTAGGCAGTGGGTTTTATTTTAGGGATAAATCAAATGGGAGGCCCCTTTCGCTGCTACTGTAAGGGTGGTTCACTGTATCCCTTCCAAGCAAACATCGATATATCAATATCCCTGATCATTTATCAAAATACTGCACTTGCCGAATTGGCCAACACTAATATGGTAACGCGTCCAACCCGCTGTGTGTGTGTGTGTTTTTTTTTTTTTTGTTTTTTTTTGGTTTGAAGCTGGCGATGCATATAAAATTCAAATCTAGGGGTGGCCCGGTTTGGAGAAAGAGCGCTCTCTCAGTCATATTTCTTTGTTGAACTCGACAACAAGATAGCTATTTCTTTCCAATCAAAGATTAGGCAAGTAAATAAACTGTGCTATTTTAAGCGCAATTTCAATCGACATGGGCACATGGCCGCGGACAGGAAGTAACGTCGTTTAGATATTGGCACTTCCTCGGAGCTAACCATAAGAGGGGCCTGGAACCTAATGACGTAAAGAACCTGCGCATTGCCTGTCATGCTCTCTTCTTCTTTGGCCGTGGCCATTGTCCGACCACAGTTAAATTTCATATTTCATTTCGTCAAGGCCGCCAATTTCTGGCCACAAAAAAAATTTAAAAATGGGTGGTAAGTTACTTAGACATTCTAAATTGCGTTTGTGTCGCCATATAGTGGGAATATGGCCATTTAACTAAAGAAATAACGTATGCCTTTTTTCTCGTGCACAGTAAAATTTCTTGAAGTTCTGCGACCATTCATTTCCGTTTTACCCGAAGTCTCCAAGCCCGAAAGAAAGGTAAGTCACTCCGTAAATAATCTTTGAGGCCTTCGAAAGGTTCTTCTTGTTCACAAAGGTGGATAGCTTTGAGCTTTTCCTTATTTATGGCTCGTCGGACGCAAGAAATGTTTGGTTAACATTGGCGTACGTGTACATCGGCGTGTGGTCAAGCAGAGAATTGAAAAAGAGGGATACTGTTTCTCGAGATTCCCTGAACAATCTCCGCTTTTCTCTTGCAGATCCAATTTAGAGAGAAGGTACTATGGACTGCAATCACACTGTTCATTTTTCTTGTGTGCTGCCAGGTTGGTGCAATGATTTTTATACAGTAAGAAATTAAATTGGTTTATATTCTGTTATCAACTGAGCGCCTCTTTGTTTCAACCGGCATTTTACAACAGCCAAATTTCAACACTACATCACCGTGATATTTCCAATTTTAGGCTCGTGGAGTTTACCTATGTCTTGTCTTTTAACTGTAACCTTTTTTTCCCTTAGATTCCTTTGTTTGGAATTATGTCGTCGGATTCGGCCGATCCATTTTATTGGATGAGGGTGATTTTAGCTTCTAACAGAGGCGAGTATATTAAACTGAAGGCCTTTTACCGGTCCAATTCGACGAAAGCGGCCAAATAACATTTTGATTACCGATGGGTTTTTTTTGTACTGGTACAAAATGTCCTAGTCCTATAAAATTTTTACATTAATATTGAAATATGCTGATTTGTATGGGAATTTGATTGGAAAGAGAATTGCAGGTTTTATATGATTTTACCCTAATATTCAAATATTCAGTAGGAATTACTTTTATTAACGAAACAGTTTCAAATGGAGTCATTGCAGTGGCTGGCAAAGTTCCTTTATGATTGATTTCCTTGTTTATCTCATTTTGTCTTGATATGTGAAAGTATATTTCAAGAACTTTATAATATTGTGATACTTTGTTCAGGTCCAAAATTGTAACCAATCCATAGTGTCCTAGTGACTAGCATTTTATTTGAAATAGACTATGGCCCAGTTAATTTTTGGACCGGTGCAAAGTGTCACATATAAAGCATTTTATAATGTCATTATGCTTTTAAGTGAGGAAATAGTGTGCAAGGAAATATTTACAAATGTAGGAGCATAAAATAGTAAATGTTGTCAACTGAATGTGTTTTTTATAGACCATTTAACAATAGACTACAAGCCCAAGTTTTCTCCAAAGTTAAAAATATATGTTGTGGTTCAATTATATCCTTGGTATAATTTGGTGCTTTCCTTTGCTTTGTATATTATTATAAATGACAAAAAGGAAAAATTCCACATTGCACCAAGGGTAATATTGAACCACAACATATATACATTTGTAGTTGCAGCTTTTCCAATATCAATTGTACCTCATCTTACCAACGCATCCCTTCCTTATCCCTCTTTTAAACAATACAATCTGAAAACTCAGCATGCTTTCAAGTGAATTGTTTAAGCACAGAGTACTGCATAAGTGAGCAAGAATGGAAGAACTGAAAGTTATTTATGATGGCAAAATCTCCAAGCCCATTTATCACTTAAAAATATATACAGTCTATAGCTACAGTCACTTTAAAGGAAAAAATGTGTAAATTGTTTAGCTGGATTGTTTTCTGTGACCTTTCAGGTACCCTTATGGAACTTGGTATTTCTCCAATTGTCACATCAGGACTTATTATGCAGGTTTGGAAATATATTGTTATAATTATTGAATAAATACTAGTTTTGCAATGCTTTGAAGTGGTATGCCATGAAATATCCCAAGTGTCACTTGTATGTCCTTGGTATACACACAAGCCTTTCAAAATCATTTAATGTTGATTTTATTGTCTTTATGCAAAATCATTGAAGTTATATTCTACTTGACTCATTTACATCACTTTAAACCTTGTACTCTACTATACCTTCATGTCAAATTTTACTGGAGAAGCTTTTATAAAGAGCTTGAGTTCTTAAACAAGTGAAGAGGGTTTGATCCTGTGAAAGTATGTAATCTGTAAGAAGTGTTTTTAATGTTAGTCAAAATAGAATCTAACCTAATAAACTTTTTCAGCTTCTGGCAGGATCTAAAATTATTGAAGTAGGTGACAGTCCCAAAGACAGAGCTCTCTTCAATGGATCGCAGAAATGTAAGTTGTTCTTCAAAATAAAGATCTATGGAGAAAACACTGCATGTCAAAGTGAAATCTTGGATAACTGCAGAGTGATAGTTTGACTGTCTCTCAAACTGCAAAGTAGGAAACTAGGAGTCGTAATAGAGAATTATGAAAGATAATCCAAGAATGTTCATTGTGTCGAAATTCAGACTGACAATTGGCAAAACTAGGAGTTATATTTCAGTAAGAACTATACCATCATCAGACTAGAATATGCATTTAAGGTAGCTCTTAAATGCGGTGTTAATAGCATTGAATGAAGAGACGAAACAAAAAGTAATACTCGTGAGAAAAGACAAAGTTCTTTGCTCGATTCTGGAAACCAGAATGAGCTCAAGCTGCCACTTTGTCTGTACCTCAAGTGTGTACTTTATCAGTGGTATTTATCAGGTGTCTTTGTTTTGTAGTATTTGGCATGATAATAACCATTGGTCAAGCTGTGGTGTACGTCATGACTGGAATGTATGGTGATCCTTCTGACCTGGGTCCTGGTATCTGCCTCTTGATTATCATCCAGGTATGCCAATAATCAATACCTTCAAATTGCTAACCAGTCCTAAATATTTTTTCAATAATTATTGTTCCCATAACTTAGTGATGTATAACTTAGGAGAATATACCATTTAGTTGATCATTTTTTGTTCCTATCACTTTCCTGCTTGGTGCTATGTAAAGAGAAACTGGATGCTGATCACTCTTATGTTTCACCGTTTTTAGCTGTTCTGTGCCGGCCTGATTGTTCTTTTGCTTGATGAGCTTCTGCAGAAAGGATATGGACTTGGATCTGGGTAGGTGATTAATTTTATTTATCTTTTTCAAAGGGGACCCTTTGCAACCTGCAAAGGTAAACTATTCCATAAGTTGCAAAATATCTGAATACTCTATTTACAAAACTTGAAAAATTACTGCACAGCCTCACTTAAAACGTTCAAATAAATTTTAGTTTTGTAAAGCGTTTGAAGTTTTTGCTTGTTAGCCGCAAAAACCCTATTTTGTTATACTGTATCTCTTGCTCACTACAACAGCTAGTGTAAGAACCAATTGATAGTGATGACTTCAAGCCATTTTTCTTTGGAATAAATATTTTTGTCAATTCTACTACACCTATTTGATTCTTTTATTTTATTTTTTTTTTTNGCCGCCAATTTCTGGCCACAAAAAAAATTTAAAAATGGGTGGTAAGTTACTTAGACATTCTAAATTGCGTTTGTGTCGCCATATAGTGGGAATATGGCCATTTAACTAAAGAAATAACGTATGCCTTTTTTCTCGTGCACAGTAAAATTTCTTGAAGTTCTGCGACCATTCATTTCCGTTTTACCCGAAGTCTCCAAGCCCGAAAGAAAGGTAAGTCACTCCGTAAATAATCTTTGAGGCCTTCGAAAGGTTCTTCTTGTTCACAAAGGTGGATAGCTTTGAGCTTTTCCTTATTTATGGCTCGTCGGACGCAAGAAATGTTTGGTTAACATTGGCGTACGTGTACATCGGCGTGTGGTCAAGCAGAGAATTGAAAAAGAGGGATACTGTTTCTCGAGATTCCCTGAACAATCTCCGCTTTTCTCTTGCAGATCCAATTTAGAGAGAAGGTACTATGGACTGCAATCACACTGTTCATTTTTCTTGTGTGCTGCCAGGTTGGTGCAATGATTTTTATACAGTAAGAAATTAAATTGGTTTATATTCTGTTATCAACTGAGCGCCTCTTTGTTTCAACCGGCATTTTACAACAGCCAAATTTCAACACTACATCACCGTGATATTTCCAATTTTAGGCTCGTGGAGTTTACCTATGTCTTGTCTTTTAACTGTAACCTTTTTTTCCCTTAGATTCCTTTGTTTGGAATTATGTCGTCGGATTCGGCCGATCCATTTTATTGGATGAGGGTGATTTTAGCTTCTAACAGAGGCGAGTATATTAAACTGAAGGCCTTTTACCGGTCCAATTCGACGAAAGCGGCCAAATAACATTTTGATTACCGATGGGTTTTTTTTGTACTGGTACAAAATGTCCTAGTCCTATAAAATTTTTACATTAATATTGAAATATGCTGATTTGTATGGGAATTTGATTGGAAAGAGAATTGCAGGTTTTATATGATTTTACCCTAATATTCAAATATTCAGTAGGAATTACTTTTATTAACGAAACAGTTTCAAATGGAGTCATTGCAGTGGCTGGCAAAGTTCCTTTATGATTGATTTCCTTGTTTATCTCATTTTGTCTTGATATGTGAAAGTATATTTCAAGAACTTTATAATATTGTGATACTTTGTTCAGGTCCAAAATTGTAACCAATCCATAGTGTCCTAGTGACTAGCATTTTATTTGAAATAGACTATGGCCCAGTTAATTTTTGGACCGGTGCAAAGTGTCACATATAAAGCATTTTATAATGTCATTATGCTTTTAAGTGAGGAAATAGTGTGCAAGGAAATATTTACAAATGTAGGAGCATAAAATAGTAAATGTTGTCAACTGAATGTGTTTTTTATAGACCATTTAACAATAGACTACAAGCCCAAGTTTTCTCCAAAGTTAAAAATATATGTTGTGGTTCAATTATATCCTTGGTATAATTTGGTGCTTTCCTTTGCTTTGTATATTATTATAAATGACAAAAAGGAAAAATTCCACATTGCACCAAGGGTAATATTGAACCACAACATATATACATTTGTAGTTGCAGCTTTTCCAATATCAATTGTACCTCATCTTACCAACGCATCCCTTCCTTATCCCTCTTTTAAACAATACAATCTGAAAACTCAGCATGCTTTCAAGTGAATTGTTTAAGCACAGAGTACTGCATAAGTGAGCAAGAATGGAAGAACTGAAAGTTATTTATGATGGCAAAATCTCCAAGCCCATTTATCACTTAAAAATATATACAGTCTATAGCTACAGTCACTTTAAAGGAAAAAATGTGTAAATTGTTTAGCTGGATTGTTTTCTGTGACCTTTCAGGTACCCTTATGGAACTTGGTATTTCTCCAATTGTCACATCAGGACTTATTATGCAGGTTTGGAAATATATTGTTATAATTATTGAATAAATACTAGTTTTGCAATGCTTTGAAGTGGTATGCCATGAAATATCCCAAGTGTCACTTGTATGTCCTTGGTATACACACAAGCCTTTCAAAATCATTTAATGTTGATTTTATTGTCTTTATGCAAAATCATTGAAGTTATATTCTACTTGACTCATTTACATCACTTTAAACCTTGTACTCTACTATACCTTCATGTCAAATTTTACTGGAGAAGCTTTTATAAAGAGCTTGAGTTCTTAAACAAGTGAAGAGGGTTTGATCCTGTGAAAGTATGTAATCTGTAAGAAGTGTTTTTAATGTTAGTCAAAATAGAATCTAACCTAATAAACTTTTTCAGCTTCTGGCAGGATCTAAAATTATTGAAGTAGGTGACAGTCCCAAAGACAGAGCTCTCTTCAATGGATCGCAGAAATGTAAGTTGTTCTTCAAAATAAAGATCTATGGAGAAAACACTGCATGTCAAAGTGAAATCTTGGATAACTGCAGAGTGATAGTTTGACTGTCTCTCAAACTGCAAAGTAGGAAACTAGGAGTCGTAATAGAGAATTATGAAAGATAATCCAAGAATGTTCATTGTGTCGAAATTCAGACTGACAATTGGCAAAACTAGGAGTTATATTTCAGTAAGAACTATACCATCATCAGACTAGAATATGCATTTAAGGTAGCTCTTAAATGCGGTGTTAATAGCATTGAATGAAGAGACGAAACAAAAAGTAATACTCGTGAGAAAAGACAAAGTTCTTTGCTCGATTCTGGAAACCAGAATGAGCTCAAGCTGCCACTTTGTCTGTACCTCAAGTGTGTACTTTATCAGTGGTATTTATCAGGTGTCTTTGTTTTGTAGTATTTGGCATGATAATAACCATTGGTCAAGCTGTGGTGTACGTCATGACTGGAATGTATGGTGATCCTTCTGACCTGGGTCCTGGTATCTGCCTCTTGATTATCATCCAGGTATGCCAATAATCAATACCTTCAAATTGCTAACCAGTCCTAAATATTTTTTCAATAATTATTGTTCCCATAACTTAGTGATGTATAACTTAGGAGAATATACCATTTAGTTGATCATTTTTTGTTCCTATCACTTTCCTGCTTGGTGCTATGTAAAGAGAAACTGGATGCTGATCACTCTTATGTTTCACCGTTTTTAGCTGTTCTGTGCCGGCCTGATTGTTCTTTTGCTTGATGAGCTTCTGCAGAAAGGATATGGACTTGGATCTGGGTAGGTGATTAATTTTATTTATCTTTTTCAAAGGGGACCCTTTGCAACCTGCAAAGGTAAACTATTCCATAAGTTGCAAAATATCTGAATACTCTATTTACAAAACTTGAAAAATTACTGCACAGCCTCACTTAAAACGTTCAAATAAATTTTAGTTTTGTAAAGCGTTTGAAGTTTTTGCTTGTTAGCCGCAAAAACCCTATTTTGTTATACTGTATCTCTTGCTCACTACAACAGCTAGTGTAAGAACCAATTGATAGTGATGACTTCAAGCCATTTTTCTTTGGAATAAATATTTTTGTCAATTCTACTACACCTATTAATTTTGATTCTTTTATTTTATTTATTTTTTTTCAGTATCTCACTATTCATTGCTACAAACATTTGTGAAACTATTGTGTGGAAAGCCTTTAGTCCAGCAACCATTAATACTGGAAGGGGTGAGAGATATTTTTCTGCTAAGATCTTTTAAATATATTTTTGCTTCTGGAGGTCTTTCCAATATTCAGCTTGGTTTACTCTGTATCATGACATGTATACACAATGTAATGATAATTTAGCATAGTTTAATGAGTGTAACCAAGCAAGATATGATGAGGTATCACATTTGGACATAAGTATCAAGCATTTGTTGGCTCAAGAATCAGGACTTAATTAAATTTAAAACAGATGACCGCCCTGGCCCATCAGGTGTGGGAGTGGCAAGATAGGTTCATAACATCTTTTTCTAGAGGGCCAATTTTTGAAAACTGTTAACGTAGCTAGCAATTCAAAACTTGTCAGAGCCTGGGAAGTTGTTGGCCTTACTGAAAGCAGGGTCTAATAAAGTGTTTGTTGTACCTGTGTCCAGGAACTGAATTTGAGGGAGCCATCATCGCCTTGTTCCATCTTCTGGCAACCAGAACAGATAAAGTGCGTGGTCTACGTGAAGCCTTTTATCGTCAGAATTTACCCAATCTCACCAACCTTATTGCCACCATTTTTGTCTTTGGCATAGTTATTTACTTCCAGGTAAATTGTTGTCCTACAGACTTGATCTGGTCCTTTACATGTATCTTAGCACTAAGTTATAAGTGGCTGATGTCATGAAATATCTGGTAAGAACAGTTTCTCAGATCAAAATATCAGTTCTCTATTTGTTCTCATACACTTCTTTTTAAAAATATGTTGTGAGAATACTGTTGTTTATGGTAGTTCATCTTTATTCTAATCATCTGTTTGCTTGGTAATGTTGTTATACTGTAAGGAGAAACTTGCTGTTAACTACACTTTGCAAAAGTCTGTAATAAACCAAGTTATGTCCACACAGCTGCTTATTTTCATGTCTGATCGAGTTCTTAATGTTTATTTCAGGGCTTCCGTGTGGATCTGCCCATCAAGTCAGCCCGTTATCGAGGCCAGTACAGCTCTTACCCAATCAAGCTGTTCTACACTTCAAACATTCCCATTATTTTGCAGGTAAATGCTCAATTAAACTTCTTGAGTTTTGAAAGTTTTAACCCATGCTGGTTGCTGATGAAGATCTTTATTTGGTTAGTTACTGTAAATAAACTTGTTCACAGTTTTATCACTGAACCATAGGGTCAAATGCACTGGCAACATTAGATATTAATGTATTACAGCATGTAGTTAAGCTGTCAGGAATTAAAAAGCAATTTGTTGATTATTTCCTGTATCTACATTTTAGAGTGCTCTTGTGTCCAACATCTATGTCATCTCTCAAATGATGTCTGCAAAGTTTGCTGGAAATTTCTTTGTCAGTCTTCTTGGCACATGGGAGGTAAGTGCTCCTTAAGGTTTCTTAAGGGTTTGCATTGTTGATGATTGCCTTGGATTTGAGAGATACTCGTCATGGCTGCAGGTGTTGTGGCAGGGTTCGTATGGGTCATTGAATACCTGGAAAGTCGTGGAATTCAAGAGTTTTGTTTTCCAGGCCTGGAAAGTCATGGAGTTTGATTGTTGGTTCTGGAAAGTTATGGAAAATAATAGTTGAGCCTAGTACATTCATCACTGCACATGTCAAAGGAAGAACAAAATACAATATAGGCAAGTAACCAAGGAATTGGCCTCTCCTGCAGACACTCTCAGGGTTTTTTAAATGCCAGAGATTGCAAAAAAATGCAAATTTGACCCTGAAACAAGGATAGTTTTGAGAATTTTCTAAAGTGACAGTTAAACTTAAGGTCATAGGGAAGGTCATGGAAAGTCATGGAATTTGAAGAGCTTTTAAAAGAGTATGAACCCTGGGTGGCTAGATCTTATGAATTCACAATATAACAGCTCTACATATTTTTGTTGTTACAACTTCTTTCAACAAGACCTTTACTTTACATAGCTTTACCTAATGTCGGTTTGGCTTTTTTAGGAAGCTGGTGGCGGGCCTGCGAGATCTTACCCCACTGGTGGCCTGTGTTATTACATGTCCCCTCCGGAGACAGTAGGTCACATCATAGAAGACCCCATACATGCCGTCATGTACATCATCTTCATGCTGGGCTCCTGTGCATTCTTCTCCAAGACATGGATTGATGTTTCTGGCTCATCAGCTAAAGATGTAAGTATATTTTCACCCTCTGCAACAAAAGTTAGACCATTTCATATCAAGGATTTTAGTCCTGTACAAATAACCTTGGTCTAGGAGAGTTTTCTGTAGGGGTTCTGGATTTTGTCCCTGGCCAGTAAAATGTATGATCTTGAAAGTTTGCAGATGGAGAGTGGAACATAAAAGTCTAGCACACAGTTGCTCCAACTTGCTCAAAGAGCAACTGGGAAAAAATATGTTTTCTTTGTACTTTGAGTTCTACATGTATGACAACATACTTGGACAGACAAACTTTCAGAAGATGACCCACAAGTAAATAGAGTATAGAGCATAGAGTCAAAAATATAGCTCAGACATTTGGAACCCCCATTAAATTTGAGTTAGTTTTCAATCTTATCCTGTAAAGTTATTATGAAATAGTTGAGGTGGTCTGTTGCTTGGTTGGTCTTCATTTGTGTGACTGCATAAGTTTTGATTTAAACTGTTTTATAATTCAAGGTTGCCAAGCAGCTCAAGGAGCAGCAAATGGTGATGCGTGGCCACCGAGATAAATCCATGGTTCATGAACTCAACAGGTAAGCATCTGCTGTGTACAAAATGATCACTGCTTTCAATTTTAGTGTTCGACTGAAAATGAGTCAAAATTATTTGACCATAGCTGCCACTAAATGGAATGAAGATTTCAAGTTAAGTGCATGTAACCATGCTTTTACAAGGTCTTTGAGCATGATCTTTATTTCTCTTGTAATTTCTCTAATGATGATCCACGAAAAATGCTGTGAAGTCATATTTCTAAGTTTCATGTTTGTGACCAAGTTCTGACATACACCTTGACTTTTCTGCTGAATAACATAATCTCACATGTCTTCAACTTTGGATTTTATTGTCTCATTTTAAAACAAGCCATTAATAATTTCTGAAATCTATCAGGTACATTCCTACTGCCGCTGCATTTGGTGGACTCTGCATTGGTGCTTTGTCTGTTCTGGCTGATTTTATGGGTAAGTATACAATCAAGTTACAGTTGCTTTGCAGAGTTTTATTTGCAAAAGCCATAACCAGCTGTTATCAGTTCCATTTGAACCAGTTGGACCATAAGGGATGGGTGGGTGGTGCTGGGTACTTGCACTTTTGCATGGGCTTTTAATTTCTCTTCAGAAACTGATGCAAGTCTCCATGCAGGCTAGCAGGCTATCTGAACAGCAAAACTGTATCAATTGATAAGTTCTTAGAAGTTGTGTAAGTAGTCAGAACTGAGATGTCACTCTTTCTTGTGTCTTTGCAGGTGCTATTGGTTCTGGAACGGGTATTCTGTTGGCCGTCACCATCATTTACCAGTACTTTGAGATCTTTGTCAAGGAGCAAAGTGAAATGGGAGGCATGGGAACTCTCCTCTTTTAAACAAACCATCCTGCACTGTATTAACCTAAGAATAACTTACACTTCCTTGCTACACACTCAAGATAAAAGAAGAAAAACTTAAGGGAGCTCCTTATGCCAGTCAGAAAAGAAAATGCTTTCTTCAGCTAATTTGTACCTCAGCCAACTATTAGATAGCTCAGAAAACAACAGCAGTAGCATCGTCATCAACAACAGCAACAGCAACAGCAACAACAACAACAACAACAACAACAAATAATAAATAAAAAATAAATACAACACAAATGCATGTACCTGCAACATTGTATTTTTCTGGCCTTTTAAGTTGAGATTTCTGTGTGCATGAGCTCTCTTTTTATTTAATTTAAAGGATTAAAAGATTTCTTTAAAGTAATATAACGTTACTGTTGAACTAATTCTGACATTTTGTTATTATTGTTATTTTGGTGGCCCCTATAAATCTACAAAAACGTGGCCAGTCCTAATTAGAGCAGCGAATGTCTACTTTTTAAGCCTAGCCTATAGGAAACATTTGTTTTAATTATTTACAAAGTTTTAAAAATTGCCTTGACTTTTAAATACTTACCCTTGACAGCATGTCAACTGAAATGTGTTTCCTTTGGGTTAGGCTTAGGGAACTGTTGTCTCGCAAAGAAGAAAAGGCCTTATAGTCTACTGAGTTACTACTCAGTTTTAAGCAAATAACAGTTAGCTCCCTTGTTAAAGCAGACTTTTGAATTATATGCATTGTACAGTATGTAGCTACCTGCTATACTTGAGTCAGACGAGGAGGTGCAATACATGCTTCTCAGCCAGGATTAAGTCATTTATCTCATCCTCAAAAATGAAAGAATGAGGAGACACCTGTCTAATGTTTAGAGTAGAAGTTATGGCAACTCTTCTCGAAGGTCTGCTCTAGAGGGTGCTAACTGTGTCATTAGGTACAGTGTTGAGTCCACTTTAATTTGAATTCTGTGCTTTTATTTCTTGAGACTTCATTGAACGAAGACTTCTCCAGTGACACGTTGGATCGACACTTCAGTCTACAGATGAATAAATAAAGTGTTGTGTGTCAACCCCAGCTTTGTGTTGATAGTGGTTCTGTCTTCGGGCGAATCTCATTCGCAGTTTAAAGGATGGTTCATGCGATAAAATGTAAACAGTACATTAATGAAAGCCTGTTCTGAAGTTAAACAGCAATATTAATAGCTTCTTATTAACCGAGAGTGAGGTCGTTACGGGAAAATCTCAAACCGAGACCTTGTCATATTGGCCAAGCGATAGCGAGGTCAACAAGGCAAGGCCGATGTTTGAGATTTCCCGTGAAGATTGAACGTTCGAGGTTGATAAGTTGTTTATCATATGGCTTTTGCTTTGTGTTTTGCAGTCCTGTAATCGGCCGGTGGGCAATATGGAAGAATAATGCCCTAGAATTAGCCAACCACAGCGCGCGATATATCGACCAAAACCAATCCATATGATCAAGAAACAATCCATTCGGGAAAGTGACTCAAATTAAATCCATTCAGCCTAATTAGTTGTCACTAGCCCAAAAAATACAACAGTTTGAACCTTGTCGTAGTATCATAAGACCAATACTGGTTACACAGACGAGTGGGAGTTTGGCTCGAGTTCAGGGCGTACGGACCGACGCACAGTGAGGTTGGTGCGTACACAGGCTGAGCCAGAATAAACTGTTATTTGAAATAAATAACAAATAAATTAGCCCTTCGTCGGCGCAAAGTCATTTGGGAACAGTCAATCCTTGGTTCTAGTTACAGTCTTCCTTTAACCTTGATCTTTTCCCCCGGGTGGGGGGGGGGATAATTTTTCACAAAACTGACTAGTTGGTTGAAGATGTTATCTAGACTAAGGAAACCAGGAATTGCCACTCGAAAATATACAAAAATCAAATCGGCAAGTTTAAATTTACGCAAATCAGTCTCAACAGTGTCGATAGATGGGGGGATTTGGGGAGTTTATTCTAGTGTAGGGTAGCAAAATTCAGCTGAACTAGCTCTGGTATAGGCCTAGGGTTCCAGGTTCCCAGTTGCACATCCCCACCCAGAAATTCTCAAAGTACCCCCCCCGGGATCTTTTCGCACTCGTTCTAAACTCTTCCTCACAAATCTCCGCCAAACGTAGCCTTCTTGCAGACGTAGTAGACGTCTACCATCTCCATTCCGCGTGAAAGGAAAACGTAGACGTGTAGGGCGCGCGCGGGCTCTGACTACGAGGCTGACCATTCTCGCCCTCAGAGCCTCTGTTACTCGTAACGTCATTTTAAAACGAGTAGCACTGGAGGCGAGAATACCCGTCGTCAGAGCCCGCACCTCCCTGCGCATGCGCGTGTAATGAAATTGTCTTATGTCCCACAAGCTTTGCGGATTCATGTGCATCATATCACTGATTGTCCATGAAAGTCGCCAACTCTGGTTTTCCTTCAACACGAATAAATCTTTCGCCTTTTACTAAAGATTTCCGTGGAGGAGAACAACTGAATGAGTCTATAGACTAATTTTTCGTCGCCCTGTCCACCGGCAGGGCTCCTAATAACACAAAGACAAGTCAGGGCGCGAACAGTTTAAACACAGTAACTCTTTCTACAAACATATTTGAGTCTTCGTCTCCCTTCCCCCTCTCGGACGGGCAACAACCGAATCAGATCGGATTCTGAAGTCCGATATCCCGTTGGCAAACATGTGCCTCAATCAACCCGCAGGTGTTTACTTCTGTTTATTTCCATTTTGTTTTAGATCGATCAAAAGGAGTCACTCCTTTCGCCAAGCTTGCGCACACAGTAAGGAACGGAGACTCGAAGAACGAGATTCCTATAATGCTATTCTTGGAAATGCCCGAAACAGTAGAGTATCAGCATAACGGCTGTCGACTTATATTTGAGTTGTGGAGGTCCTTTTTCTCTCAACTCTCCGTTGCGTTACCTTCCTGTTAGTAAAACAAAAACAAAGAAGGCATTGCATAGGCCTTGTGCATGATATTGTGGATATATCCCCTTCTACTTCGCTACTTCGGGAAGGTTGTTCGTTTTGCAACCCACCCAGTTTCTTGCCCTTTTCAACAGGACTTAACTTACCTGATCAAGTGTTGCAAAGTTATTTTTTCTTTTTCAGACAAAAAATACCTAGACATTGACATTTTAATTTATACTAGGTTTTTTTAAAAAAATCTACTGAGTTTCAAGCAAGATGCCTTCCTACAGTAATCATACATTGTTTATTTTTTGCGTCCTTTTTTCGCTTTCCGGAAAAAAAGGGTCCCGCTATCGTTTGTGTGAAGGCAAACAGTATAGCTGATCGTGATGCGTTACAGCTAATGAGGGACAAAGTACTACTGAACCATACATGCGTACTCCATTATATAAATTTTTTAGATCTTATTCCCAGAACATGTGCGGTTTTGAAGAGTGACTAGATCTGATGTTTGATATAAGCAAATGAAATGTCGTAAAATATGGCTGTCAGCAAGAATTGTTCCTACATGAGGCACCCCGAAAAATGTTCTCTGTGACCATAATCTCTAAGCCTGTTCCGCGGACGATAGGGGCAAAGCTGTGAGGTAATTTAATTTGAGCGAAATTCGATCTGACAGTTCTCCTTGCTGCGCTGCCTCGAGCAGGAGGTTTCGTTTGAGGCTCCGCCGTGGAAATAATAGACTGCGATAACAAACTTATTTCCGGCTGTCGGTTGTCTCCTCCGAAAAAAACTTATTTTCCGCGGAGTTGGTGCCGTAAGTCGATGCGCATGCGTGCTAATCATGTAGGTTATGTATTCTTTGTCCCACATGTTTTCGCATATCATACTTATCATAGCATCGGCCGTTACTT